TTAAGGGTAGCCTTCATTTCTCGTCAAGGAAACTTCTTTTTGCAACAGACTGGGGCTACTACAGAAACCATACAAATCAATATGTGCAACTATGGAGCTCTTAAACGATGGATGCAGCCACAAAACATTACTGCACCAGAAAACATTGCAGAAGAGGGAACAGAAAGATTTCAAAACATAGTGGATAATGAATTTCCTGTGATATCATGTCTCCTAGTAATGTTACATGCTATCACTGTAAAGTTGTTTCAACATGATGTTCTAACATGCATTCAACAAACATATTTGTTGAATATGGTGGTCATGCCAAAGTGAATAGGGAACAGCCCATGAGCCTTAACTCTATAAAAACAGCTATAGGCAACTGAAAATAAGGGAGCAGCAGAGGTGTTCTTCCCCAGGGAAAAGCACACTAAAGTCCTGAAAACATACATACAATTATCATCATATGGGTTATATGCATATAGTCTAAAAATGCAAACAACAAAAATGAACAAAGAAGCCATGTATTTGTAGGAGAGGGAGGATGAAGTATATAGGATTGATTGGAACACTAGAGGCCAGGTTAAAACATCATATTATAAACTCAAGCAAAAATAATCTCTATAACATAGTCATATATTACTCAATTGTAAAGGAACACAGAGCTCTCAGTAATCAAAACATGTGTATTTAATTTAAAAACGATGTGTATTTACATTAATCTATTCTTTCAAGAATAATCCAAAGTATACCAAAATTAGCAATTACAGTGTCTTTTTCTATGTGTGAAGTGCTGTTGAATGTGTGCGAGGAAGTTTGTATGTATGTGGGGACACACATATGTGCAGGATCAAATGCTTGTACACACTCCTGAGTGTGAAGGCCCCAAAGTTGATCTAGGTTTAGGTCAATTACTCTCCACTTTAAATATTGAGAAAGGGTCTCTCACCAAACCTGAGTTTGGTTAGATTAACTCAATTCTCTCTGTGTCTCTGCATCTAAGAGCTATTATTATAAACAGCCATCGTATCTGTTGCAATTTTGCATAACGCTTTTGGGACCCAAATCCCAACATTCATTCTTGTACAATGATCTTTCTCCCAAGCTCTCAACAGTGACTTTTCAAGAGTACATGCCATGTCACATATATATGTTTTTTAATTGCTGCAAAACAAGTTTTGAATGTGGTTTATAGGAGAGTAGAAATGTATAACAAATGAAAATTTATCAATAACTTTAAATTGCTTATTTCAGTTAAAGTTGTGTTTCATGAACTATATTTGAAGGGAAAATACTAGCTTTTCCTGTAGATGAGTTTTCTAACCATCTAGCTTGAAGGCAGCAGCCTGAATCAATATTAAGAAAACAGGCCATCAAGGACACTGAATCTATGATAATTTAGCAACCACGTTATTGAGCTTTACAAATGTAACCAATCATATCATTTAGTTTGTTTGATTTATACACCTATCACTGTTCTTGTTTACAAATAGAAAAAAAAATGGCCGACAAGGAGTTTATATGTAGTATAGTGCTTCCTGGCTGTATTCAAGCTCTGCCCTAACTTCACATTTTCTATCCTTAGTGTGCTACTCATAACCACCAACAAAACCTATGATTATAAATAGAAGTGTTTCCCTATTTCTTCCCAGTGATCTGAATGTCAAATGCACACATAACCAAGCATTACACTCTAAATGATGAAAATGTAAGACAGAGTCAAGTCTTCTAAGAATGTATTGCTCTATTTTACTCTTTTGTTAAGTTTTTTTTATTGTTGTAAAAAAAATCCCTCGCATTCATTAGAAGTTGTTATAACCAAATAGTATTTTAAAATTGTGAAAGTTCTACTTTTTTTATAACAGGGATTTTTAAAATGGAGAAAACTTTTAGAATTTTAAAAAAGAAATTCTAACATACATTTTTAGAAAAATATAAAGTGCCCAAATACCAACTTATATGGGGGATATAGACTCAATCAAACGAAGCCTTCTTTAAGAAACACATTTCAAAACAGTCTAGGTACATGTTTACAGTCAGGCCAGGAAGGAAATACATATTTTTTTATTAATGATTCATCTCTTAAAGAGAAACAGATTTAAATAAGATTTATTGAATGCCCAACAAATGAACTGTTCTTTCTGTGTTCTTCTCTACCCCCATTCTATCTCAGCATATAATACTATGGTGTCCATCTTACAATTCATAGAAAAATAAGGATGACAGTGTTTCACAATTATATGGTAAGACCTATTGGAAATGTACAATTTGAAATCCATTCATTTTCAAGCAATAAGAGCATTCATGGGCAGAGCACAGAAAGTAAGTTCACGTGAACAGTCATATATTTCATTGGCATACTTACGACCATTTTGTAAACATTTTGATTGCTACTTGTCTGTGCAGTAGTTCACTATAAGAGAGTCATGTTTTCATCCACACACCAGAGTAAAATTCACAATATAAGGAGCTAGTTTTGGTTTTCTAAACTTTAGCAAAATGATCGTTGCTGTTAATGTTTAGAGAGCAAGAAGATTGCTACACTGACTGAAAATCTCAGACATCACTGTACCCTAGCAAGAAATTACATCCAAAGATCAATAGAACCAATTTCCAGAAGCCCTAATCTAGAATACAGTTCTTTAGACATAGGTAATACATCTGCAATGAAGATATAGAATTAAGCAAACTGAAAATTTTTGCTGTAGTATTTTCTCTAATATGAACAACAATAAAAAAAAAATAGAGTTCATACACACTATGTTTGTCTTTCAATGTCTGTTATTATCCATATTCTATACTCCCTCATTCAACTGATTCAGGATAAGTCAACGTTTATCTTCAATGTTTTCAGTATGCTACAGTATATATGCATGTCTGGATGTCACAACACTGAATTTAGAAATATGTAAAGGATAGTTTCAACTCTTAGCTACCCAATAGTCAAATTCAGAAAAGACACAATTCCTTTTAAAATACAATTTATATGTATTGGGCCACAAAGACAGATACAAAACCTAATAATAGTGCTCCTATGAGCCAACAAAAATAAACACGTTAGTTAGTATATAGAATATACTTTTAAATTTTTCATAATATTGTACAAATAAATATCCAATCATTCTATCATATCCACTTTAGCAAAGGTCATAGACAGAATAATAATTACCAATTTCCATAATGGTAAACTTATTCAAGTATCAAAAGGTATTGCTTATGCTCACAACTTCTACAGTTAATTATATTCAGGGTGCACCAATCACAGTTTCAGGGAGAGTTTCCTATCACATTCCTTCTCATGTTTTATTCTCCTTTGCTATTGGTTTATGGTCTGCTGGGCATTTTTCCTGCATTTGAATTAGCTTACACTCATTTTGCATCAATCCTTGTTTTCAGGTTGGTAATCAATATTAGTCATTAGTATCATTTTCTACTTGTTCTCTTAAGTTAGTTATGTGTGTTGAAAAACACTGGAACTGTAATGTGTGAAGTAATTATTGACAAAAGCCCATTAAGTGAATGGCTTATGGGGTGGATGAATAGGGTGACTGACACTATGTTAATTCATTGGCTGTAAACATAGAATCAAGGACATAACAAGAAGTTTGTAAACAAAACTGCAATGATAATTGGAGCTTGGACCAGAATGGTACAGAATGGACTCTCTTCTATCATTCTGTTTCCTCCTCCTACATCTTGCAAGGTAAGTACAAGATATACTTTGCATTTCAAACTCTTGATTCAGGAATGACTATGTTCTCTGAAGAGACTATACCTTCAGACCAAGAACTGTTATTGCAGAAGGACAGCCTCCTGCTTTTAACATCTGTGGGCGATCCCAGAGTGGAAGATAAAGGTTGAAAATGCAAGCAGAGCATAGAGTTAGGTTTTGGGCTACATAATAAAATCTTTCTCTCGTCTGTCTCTGGACTCAAAGCAGGCATGCCATTACCTGAGAAAACCAGAAAGCAGAAATTTTACTTAGCATTTTTATTTTTCTCAAATTCCAATTGAGAAAATACAAGATCACTAATTTTGACCAGACATGAAGCTAATTTAATGCAACAAATAAGAACGTTACGGGTATCTTAATAGCTCTAATCTAACTAGTCAAATTTTGTTTTCACCTGTTACATATGAAAGGTTTGCCTGGCTCCACACCTACATGCACGGCACACTCCCATACAGGCATGGTTGTGATTTACCTTGATTTTTAGATGTGCAAACAAAGACAAAATTAGGTAACTCTACACTCTGAACAAAACACAGTTAGGAACTTAAGGCAAGGGCTGAGAGTTAACAAACAGAGGCAGACACCAAATGAACTAGCTAGTGATCACAAGACCCAGCAGCCTTCTCTCCCTGCATCAGTGCTGTGCCTTTTGTAAAACATAAAAGTTTCAGCTTAGGTTTCCAGAAACATCTATAAAAGCCATTTGTAAAAGGAATAAAAAAACGGAAAAATAACAAATTTCTACCCCCCAAAACAACAAACAAACAAAACAACAAACGCAGGTTCATCTTGCAGCAGTCTCAGTGCGCAGATAACACGTAATTTTTGAGGCTACTGGAAAGACAATAATTAAAAAGCTCTGAGAAAAATCCAATTGCAGTATTCCTGTTTGACTCTGACCACGCTGATCTCACTTTTATAGACAGACGTAGAAACCGCTTAATCAGACACCCTCCGTATTCAAATGTGCCAAACAGAGTCCCCTTCCAACTTCTTCAGGGGCAGGGCAGTAACAGCACATCAACAGAACAACATCCACACAAAACCAGCTGCCTCGGGAGCTTCGCGTTCCTTAGGCTCTAAAGCAGCATTCCGGCATAAGAAATACAAATTTATACTAGCGGCAAGGCTGCCGGCTGCAACTTTCCCATTAGCACAGCACCCTGTGAAAAGCATCCAGGAGGAAGATTTCACCAATACTGTTTCACTCCGAACTGAGTAAAGCCGCCCCATTGTATAAAAATATTAATGTCACGGAGTAAAGTGTGATATATTGAAGCCTTACCTTGGCTGACTTGCCCTAACTGGTGGAAAGGAACTTAATTTATGAGAAGCAGAGCAGGGACTTTCTCCGAGCTTTGGGCACTGCTGCTCGCGGTCCTCGGAGAGCCCAGACTCTGGCTCCGCGCACCTCCAGCCCCAGGCTCCCAGGCTGGGTCTCTGCAGCTCCCGAGCGCTTCTCTGATTGGCTGGCAGCTCTTGTCGGCCTGATGCTGGGCTCTCGCATTCTCTCCTCCTTCCTCTGCTCCCAGACTCTCTCCCTCTACTCCCTTCCCCTCTCCTCTCCTTCTCCCCCACCCCACCGTACATACTTTTCAGGGCTGCACAAATACCATTTTTGTCCCATAGACAAGGTCATACTGAAAGCAACGAGGTTAATAAGAATCATTTAAACACACAAACAAAACGAAATTCCCGTGTTCTTGAAAAATGACGGCCAGGACGCCAATGACAGTTTAGACCAGCAGTTCTCTGCGGGGGATGGGAAAGTAGGGGCAGGAGCAGAGGATGGCTGTCAGAAGGAGTGGGAGTATACATCAGAAGAGAAAGAGCAAAGGCAGACAGGGCAAGCGCTGATGTGGCAAGCTGATAATAAATTTTCATATTTCCGTGCAAAGTCGTCACAGCCTGCTAAACATTCAACTGCTGGCTCATTCATCAGCGATCTCTACTAGAGAAGAAGTCCAGCGATTTAGCTTGTGAGATGCCCTTTCATGCCTTACCCCAAGTACTCAAGGCGTGTAGGGTTTGTGTTAGATGGAGCTTCCCCTTGGAGGTCAACATTATATTTTGAAGATGAATAGTACTGCAGTGCCTTCCCTACCTCTCGATACTGCCAGAAGAACGAAGCCAAGCATGAACTTCTCACCTCTTTTGACTCCTGAATAAATTACAACGTTTTGTAATGTACACAGCTTATGATAACAGGGATTTCAGGCCTGATTGGCTGCTTTCAAAATTGATGTGAACAGCTGAGGCATCATCTTCAGTACTTTCTCCCAGCAGGAAGTCACCCACACTCACCCATCAATATCATCCTGCGTTTCACTTGAAGCATCATAGTAAACAAGTGTAGGTGTTTTTCTAAATTGAATGACTAATCCCAAAGTCCCCTGGCTGGGATATTAACACTTATATGGGATTCTCAATCATCACTAACACCAAGAGAGTAGCATTCCTTTGGAAACATATTTGTTAAAACTACCAAAGCCCCCTTTTAGTGCTTTACTGGAGGAAAATCACTCAGGCTCAACAGAGCTAGTGTGAAACGGATGCAGGTTTGCTAATGTGCAAAGCGTGAGGGTTAGAATCAAGGTTGGGATTTTTCTTCAGATGTGGGTGTGGGTGAATATGGCATCCCTCACCCTCAAGAGACTTCTTTAAAATTTAGAAAATAGCCCTTTCCCCAAACATTTTTTTTTTTTTTGTGAAAAGTGGGTAAAAATATCTATGCGGTTATTAATAAATCATTGTAAACGTTTGACAAAGGTTACTTAACTTGTAACGATGCCTTCTGATTTGGTCTTTTTTACTTCAAAAAAGGTCATTTGAGAAGATAAGGCAAGTGGTATTTCTTTTAAAGTGCGGCAGGTGGAATATTTAGAATCAACTACTTATATTTGGCTGTCTTTATTTCACGGGAGTATTGAATAGTAGAGCTATTTCAGTTGCTTTGGGGGTTGATATTTTGAAAGAAACAAACAGAAACAGTGCAGGAATTGAATTACTTCTTATTGTGAAAGAACTGCATTTTGAAGCGCTTAGTCGCTCCAACAAAACATGTAAGAAGTCAATTAAAATTTGAAAATGACCAACATTTAAACTGTTAAGGAAAAGTAGAACATGAACAACAGTGTCAGAATAATGTTCTCTTGTTTATTCTTTCCTTTGTGGCTTCCAATACAAATGAAGTATTTTCCTCACATAGTGTCCTAATTTAACTTTTTTTTAAAATCTGAGATTATTATATAATTACTTTATTTTGCCCTTACCTTTACTCCTTCCAAACATTCTTATCTACACCTCTTAGTTCTCTTTCAAATTCATGGCCAATTTTTTTTTCACTAATTGTAGGTATATACATACATATATACTTAAATATGTAGTTAGAAATTTCTTAGACTGTATAATGTTACTTTAATACATTGTCATCCCTGAAAATATACATGGAATTACATAGAAAATCCTGTTGCTTATTTAAAGGAATATTTAGGACAGAAAGCGCTTTATATCTTGCTCTGTTAATGAGACACTGATGAATGAGGGGAGGGGTAGTTCTGATAAGTACAAAGGATATGAAGAAGAGCATTTTCTCTCCAAGAAGTCATGTAGTTTAATTTGAACATTTTATGTCATAAAATTCTCAGGAGAAGACCAACACTGCTTGTTTCTTTTTTTTATTTTTTAAATTTATTTCTACATTCATTTTTTATTTATTACAGTTTATTTATTTTGTATCCAGCTATTGCCCCTTTCCTCAGCTCCTCCTACTCCCACCCACCCTCCTTTTCTCCCTCTATGCCCCTCCCCTAACCCACAGGTAGGGGAGGTCCTCCTCCCCTTCAATCTGACAATAGCCTACCAGGTCTCATCAGCGCTGGGTGCATTATCTTCCTGATGCAGGCCCCAGGGAAGGTTATCAAAGAGTCAGCCACAGAGTTCATGTCAGAGACAGCCCCTGTTCCCCTTACTAGTACACCCATTTGGAAACTGAGCAGCCTATGGTCTTCTTCTGAGCAGTTGGTCTTCCAGTTGATTGAAATAAAAAGTTTATTTGCCACCTGGCCACAGTTGTGTTTTCTCAGACATCAGCAATGAGAATTCAGGGATGTAGTAGAAAAAACAAAACAAAACAAAACAAGGTTTTATTATCCCCCTCCCCTTCTCTGGGATTTTCCACTGTTAATTCCACAAGAACTGAGTGCAGTGGAGAAACATCATGTGGGTCAACAGGTACTTACTCAAAACTGCAGAAGTACAATCCTTTCCTAAGAAAATAATCTATTTATCAAGGGAGGGTGTGTTTCAATGATTCTGCACTCAGATTAAGGGCTGCAGATCCTCTCAAAACTCCATCACAATGCAATGTGCATAAGTGGCTTTAAAAGCTTAATATTCTGAACCTGTGCCAGCTTTGCCCAGCAATAGGTGAGCTTTTTGCCCTCCTACTACATGAGGTGTGTTTGCAGGGTATAGCGAAGACAGCAGGTAGAATAATGTGGCGCATGGTGTTTGGAGGAAGGGCTGGCAGGAAGCCAGTGATCATTTTCTTTTCATGTCAAAGATTAGTTTAAAAGACTGGACCATGTATCACTCAACAGAATTTACTATAGAGCTAGTCCCAGGAACTGAAAGCATGTGCAATTCTGATACTGAACCCTTCTTGTTTTACCTTGGTTGGAAGAGCTATAAGAATCATTTTAGCTGGTGACAGAGAAGCATCCAACATAAGATTGATGCTGGGCAGACTATAGATACTTGAAAGACAAAAATTATTGTGCTAAATGGTGACTATTTTGAAAGAGAAACTCAGAAAATTATCACTTTAGATGCCATCACATGCTCCGTTTGACTGTGAAAGCTTAGAAATCTTACTTTCACATACAAATGAAGCAAAATATATAAAAAAATGTGTATACATACTCTAACATCCTCTCATAATTCAATAACGGGAAGAGTCAAGGGTACAATGGAAAATTAGTTTATCCTTGAATGTGTTTATTGAGTGACAACATGAACCAAGGCATGTACTTGAGGTATGCAGCTTTTTGTGTTGGTATGTGTTATAAAAAGACTACTTAATTCAGATAATTAGCATATCAGTCATCTCAAATAGTTACAGTTTGTTTCCAAATAATAATATGTAATAAATGGTTAATTTTTGTGTGTGAGAAAAATTTGAAATATTATTGTTTAAGTTAACAAAAATTGTACGTTGTATGTCTTTCGTTAAAAGAATATGAGAGCAAGCCAATACGGATGAAAATATATCACATTATCTTGCCCTAAGGTTCAGGGAACATCACAGGAGAGGGAAAGAAAGTCTATGACAGGATTGCTACCCTTGCCGGCCACAGAGTAAGACAATGCAGCCAGTCCTGATGAGACCTGATAGGCGAGGGTCAGATAAAAAGGGAGGAAGACACCCCTATCAGTGGACTAGGGGAGGGGCATAGAGGGAGGAGAAGAGGGAAGGGGTCAAGGCTGGGATACAAATTGAATAAATTGTAATAACACTAATTTTTTTAAAGTTATTCACCTCTGGACATGACAGGGCTTAAAGAATATTGTTGTTGAGGACAAAAGTCTTGCACATTATGAAGCCAGTCAACATTTCAACATGGATGGAAAAAGGACTTTTGAGAGACTGACCCCAACCCTAGCTGAGGTGCCACTAGTCGTTTATAGCTGCAGGGCCCTCACGTTTGTATTTTTACCCTAATTAAAATATTTGTTGCACCATTGTATTATATTTCTTTATGTGAAAAAATATCATGCCGTACTTTTGTTTGCTTACTGCTTTTTATTTGTTTTGTATTTAAATCTGTCTTCTCCATCTCTTAATGGTCAACACTAAATATATTCCTGGTTAATAAGATCTTACTTTAATTTATTGTGCTAGGCCATACATTTTTTAAGTCTATAAAATAGTTTTTAAAAACATGTCATTATGTCAGTTATTGAACAATTGATAATTAGAAAGCGCAGTGTAGTGGAGGCAGTGGTGCGCACCTGTAATCCCAGCACTCGGGGAGGCAGAGGCAAGTACATCTCTGTGAGTTCACTTCCAGCCTGCTCCACAAAGTGAGTCCAGGACAGCCAAAGCTACAGAGAGAAATCATATCTCCAAAAACAAAACAAAACAAAAAAGCCAAAAGGAAGAAGAGAAAGAAATTGTAGAGTACTGAGGAACAATATATCTAAGTACAAACAACATGCAAAATTATATCGCCTAATGTAACGTTTATTTGGTAGTAAGGGCTATAAGAATATAGTCTATTTATTAGTCTGGTTATCTTTTTTTTTCCTTTTTTGTTTTTATTATTAGTTACATTTTATTAACTTTGTATCCCAACTATATCCTGCTCCCTCACTCCCTCCCAATCCCACCCTCACTCTCTC